GGGGAGACGGGGGACGAGCGGTTCGCGACGTTCGGTCGGAACCACCTGAAGCTCTGGTACCGCGGCGTCGACCTGAAGACGCGCATGCCGACGTGGACGGGCCGGGGCTGCTCGTGGAACGGCGCGGAACCGCGCATGGTCCTGAGCGCCGTGTTTTTGCCGCCATCGCTCCACGAGGGCGCGGAGGTGCTGGTTCGCAGCTCGAGCACCCCGCAGGGGGCCGTGGGCACGGGGTGGTGCAAGCAGACGGGGGCGGAGGACCTGGACTTCGGGCTCGTCGCCACGGGGCACCCCGCGGGCGAGGTGATGTTTTGGCGCGAGTGCGCGGCGGTGATGGTGCTGCAGGTGGACGCGGCGCCGAAGAAGACGCTCCGGCCGTCCGCGAACGAGGTGGACTCCGTCTACGGGATCCGCGGGCTGCAGGTCGCGTGCATCGTGCCGGAAAGAACACCCCCCCGGGAGGAGTATGAGACTGAGTCGGACACGCCGGGGGCTGGCGAGAGGTCGCCGGCCGCGCCGGAGCCCGCCGCGGCCGCCGTTCCAGCGGCGCGTGCGCGATCGCCGTCGCCGGACCCATCGACGCCCGAGCAGGAGCGCGCATCGTCGGAGTCGGAGGCGAGAGCTGCGTCGAGCAGCGCCCCGTCGGACGCGGGCGCCTCCGAGCCTGCGCCGCTGCAGTCCGAGTCGTCCGAGCTCTCCGGGCCGCACTCGGCGTCTCTCGAGTCGTCCTTTACGGGGGGGGAGTCGTCTGGTCAGGACCAGGTCGGGCACGCGTCCTCGGACGTCGACGCGGCGCTCGAGGACGCCCTGAACGATACCGTCGTGTCACTGGAGGACCCTATCGAGTGCGTGATCGAGGACGAGCTGATACCAGCCGCGGAGCGGTCCCGCAACACGTCGTCACCAGACAGCCAGCGGGCGCCGGGTGGGCGCGGGCTGTACATGGGGGCGCGCGGCGGGGACGAATTCGGCGAGTTCTTCGCGGACGACGCGTCCGGAGAGGATGTGGGTGAGCGCGGCGACGGAAGTCGTGGTTTCGTGGATGAGGATGACGCGGTACAGATAGGGGGCGAGCTGGACGGGATGACGTCGAGCGGGGTGACGAGCGCGATGCTGTCCACGATCCGCGGCGGCATGTTCGGCAGCGACGTCGCGGGGCCGGACGGGCCGCAGGGCCAGGAGCCTCGCGCTCAAGACCCCCCCGCGGGGTCTGACGACGACGAGGGGGTGTTGCGGCTCCGGGGCGGGAGCGGACGGTACGCCGCCGACCCAGGATACGACACGATGGACTCCCAGGCGCTCGCGAGCGTCCGCCAGGAAGCCGTCGTGATGCCACGGGCCACGCCGACCATCCCAACAGCTACGGCGCACCCTCCGGGGCGCTACGTACAGCAGGAGCCTCCGCAGCTGTCCCGGGAGCGTCCACAGACGTACCCGGACCGGTACGCCCCCCCGGAATCCGCTCCGGGGGCGGGAGCGTCGTTCGAGACGGCACGGCACGCGCAGGGTGCGCCACAGGAGGTGCCCCGTCAGGCGGGGGGAGTCAGCGCTGGGAGGTACGCCCCGGCGTCCGCGGGGCAGCGTGGGTCGCGCGGGGGGCTTCGGGCGTGGCGGGAGTGGTTCGAGGACGAGCCGGCGGAGCCGCGGTGGGTGCTGGTGGCGGGCGGCGGGGGGGGGGTGGTGAGGATGTTTGACCTCGGGTCGGACATGCGGCTGCCGCACGCGGAGTGCGGGCGGAACCCCGTGGAGATTCCGGTGCCGCGCTGGCCCGCGGGGACGGCCCGGCAGCCCATCCGCGCGCTCGACGTCGGCGTCAAGCGCCGCTGTATCGCCGTCGGTACGTACCACCGACCTGCGCCGACCCTCCCCGTCGCTCGCCTCCTTTGATTAATTTTCTGCGCGTCGGCGACACCCTGTTGCGCTCCCTCACGCCTCCTTCGCCGAACGACCCGCTCCGGCGACGCAGGGACGAGAGAGTGCGACGTCTGGGAGCTCCCGATCCCCGCCGAGGTGTACGGCGAGGAGCCCGGCGTGCCCGTGCCGCGGGGGCAAGAGGGCGTCCGCGGCCCGCACTTCCCGGTGCGTCTCGTCAACGGCAGTTCGGGCGAAGTGCGGTCCGCGGCGTGGCACCCGCGCGCCAAGGGCATCTTCGTCATCGCGCCCGCGGCGCCGGAGGTGCTGGTGTACCACGCCGGGCGCAAGCACTCCATCGGGCGCCCGATCATCGCGGCGGCAAACGTGACGGCGGTGGCGTTCTCGCAGCCCACGGGGGAGTTCCTCGCGCTCGGGACGGAGACGGGCGTGCTGCAGGTGTTCGACAGCGACAAGCAGCTCGTCGCGGAGCGACACGACACACGTACGTCTCCACCGCAGCTCCTGTTTTGTCACACGCGCCGTCCTGACGCCGCGTCCTCACGCCGCCGTTCCCCGTCCGCTGCCTCGCGCATGCGCGCCACCACTCATCCGCGCGTGCACGCGTCCCCGTCTGGCGCGCAGGTCGGCCGGTGTCGTGCCTTGCGTACGCGCCCTCGGGCCGCGTGCTTGCCGCGGGGTCCCGCGACGGCTCGATCGCGCTGTACGACGCGCGCAACCGCCACCGCCTCCTCACCGTGTGCCGCGGCCACAGCGCCGCGATCGAGTGCATGGACTTCTCGCGGGACTCGCGCGTTCTGCAGTCCAACTGCGCGTCCTACGAGATTCTGCACTGGGACGTGCTGACGGGCCGGCAGCTCACGGAGGACCAGCGCGACACCGCCTGGGCCACCTGGACGTGCAAGCTCGGCTTCCCCGTCATCGGCGTGTGGCCCGAGGACGCTGACGGCACCGACGTCAACGCCGTCGACCGAGACCCCTCGGGGGAGTACGTGGTCGCTGCGGACGACTTCGGGAACGTGCGGCTGTTCCACTACCCGTGCATCGTCGAGGGCGCTGGCTGCGTCAAGTCCACGGGGCACTCCGCGCACGTCCTCTGCGCGCGATTCTCCGCGTGTGGCAAGCGCGTGCTGTCCGTCGGCGGCCGCGACCGCGCGGTGTTCCAGTGGCGCCTCGTGCGCCGCGACGGCGGCGGCGCGGAGCCGGCGATGCCGGAGCACGGCGGCGTGCAGCGCGACGGCGGCACGTCCTTCTTGCAGGCGCTGCTGCGCGGGCAGGCGGCGGGGCGCGCGACGCCGCGCACGATCCCGCCCGTCGCGCTGACGAAGGAGCAGATCGACCGCGCGCGGGAGGCGCGGGACGCGCGCGTCGCGGGCGCCGACCCCGACGCTCCGCCCACCGAAGAAGATAAGCTCTTTCAGCGCATTCAATCGAAACATGCAATCGGGGTTCGAAACGAGGGGCTCGCGGACGAGGACTACGGCGAGGAGGCGGAGGGCGGGATGGAGCAGGCGATGCAGGGGCTGCGGGAGGCGCAGGGGTCGTGGCGCGCCGTCAGTCGCGCTGCGAAGGCTGTTGTGTCGATGGAGGAGGAAGAATTAGAGCGGCGGGAGGGTGCGGAGGAGCCGCGGGTGGACCGGGGGTCGGCGGCGGCGGCGCTGATGGAGCGCGCGGGGGCGGGGGGGCGGCTGGGGACGCGGAAGTACCGTGCGAGGCGGATGAAGGAGCTGGAGAGGCAGCTAGATAGGGAATTGGAGGCTGCTGGGTTGGGGAGTAAGGAGAGTAGGAGGAAGGGGAAGGCGGTGGTGAAGGAGGGGATGGTGTGGGGGCCGCTGGTGCCGGGGGGCAAGGAGTACGGGTGGATCCGGGAGCTGGATTTGAACGCGGAGGATTGATTAATGTCTGTGAGTGGACGACTTGTTTTGGTGTCTTTCGATGGGTTGGTTTGTCTTGGGTGGTTGGGCGGCGTTGGGTCGCGGTCGCGTGGGGTCGGGCGGTGGTGAGGCCGCGCGTGGGAGGACTTGAGGGGGTGTTTCTACTGCTCATGCGTCATGTGTGCGTGTCAGACTGCGCGACGGTGCTCCCGCGGGCAGACGACGCATTTTGGCAGTCGGCGGCGCGTTGACCGATGCACTGCGGGGACATTCGAGGGAACAAAGTTCCAACCAACGCCGTCCGAGGGCGAATTCCCTGTCTCGCAGATACCCATCGAGCCAGCGCGCCGCGCCTGAGTGTCGCCGCGCGGCTCAGTCGGGTGGTCGGTGTACTACGAGTAATAGGCGGACCGTTGCTTCCAGGAAACACTCTGTTTGGTCCGCAGCGAAGCGAGGCTGTCGCTCTTTAGGTCTGCGCTGAGTCCTCTGCTCGCGGCCGGCGGCTGCGGCGCGTGGGAGTCTCTTCTGCGTCACAGCAGCAGCTACGGGATGACAATCGTCCGCGCGAAGGGGACCTTTGAGTTCTCCCCGAAAGCGGGCGAAAAGCGCGGCCACGAAGCAGCCGCCGGCGACGATGGGCCCGGTGATGAAAGGGAGCGCGGCACAGAGGCTGGCGTAGAGGACGACGTGTCCGACGAGGTGCGAGGACACAGCGGTCCCCGGCAGGCTGCCCCGCGGCCTCACACGGGGCGGCATGGGCAGGAGAGCATTTGAGGTGCTCGCTGGGTGCCTCCACGCATGAATGCAGCGGTCTCGGTCCTTTCCTCGCGCTCACTGCGATCCTCGCGACAACACCTATGATGTCGTGCAAGGTCTCACCCATTGCGCGGAATGTTCCGCCGTCAAGGGCGCACAGAAGACTGCGATTGTCCCCACTGTATTCCTCTCACCATTACGCGTTCCTGCCACCAGCGCACTCCCTACTGCACCTCGACAAATCGCAGGAGCTGCAGCGGCGCCGCGTTGCCGCGTACAAGCCCCCAGACCCCACCCACTGGGACCTCCCAGACACCCACAAGAAGTGGGACGACGAATTAGCGGCACTCATCGCCGACAAGTGCGTCTCCGTCGCCCCGCAACGCACATCCTCGCACAAACTCCACCCTCCCGGCCACTCACCGGCTCAACACCCCTCCCACGGCCTGCAGGACCCCCCCCCCGCCCCCCGAAGCCGCGGGGGAGTGGTGGCGCGGCATGGGCGAGCCGCGGTACATGGTCGCGCCCATGGTCGACGCCAGCGAGCTCCCGTTCCGCCAGCTGTGCCGCAAGCACGGCGCGACGGCCGCCTACTCGCCCATGTTCCACGCGCGCCTTTTCGCCGAGAGCGCTCCCTACCGCGCGGAGCAGTTCAGCACGTGCGAGGCGGACCGGCCGCTGTTCGTGCAGTTCTGCGCGAACGACCCGCCCACGCTGGTGCGCGCCGCGAAGCTCGTGGAGGGCCAGTGCGACGCGGTGGACCTCAACCTGGGCTGTCCGCAGCGCATCGCGAAGCGCGGGCGGTACGGGGCGTTTTTGATGGAGGACATCGACCTGGTCGAGAGCCTCGTGCGCGCGCTGCACAAGGAGATCAGCACGCCCGTGACCGTCAAGGTACGCCTATGTATCGCACCAGGTGTCGTCGCATCGTGCACGCGCCTTGACCTGACTATGTGGAGGGCGCAGGTGTCGTCGGTTGCGCGTTGCTGGACGGCGGCGAGCTGCAAGCAGCCGTAGCCGCGCGTTTGGGCTTGAGACCAGCGAATGGGAACCTCACGATCTCCTTTTCGTATATCTAAATATTATTTGTTGTTCATGTTTGCAGATTCGGTGTTTCCCGGACGTGCGCGAGACCATCAAGTACGCCCGCCGCCTCGAGAAGGCCGGCGCGTACCTCGTCGCCGTCCACGGCCGCACGCGCGAACAGAAACGCGCCGCCGAGGTCGCGGCGGACTGGGAGCAGATTCGCGCCGTCAAGGCCGCGCTCAGCGTCCCCGTGGGCGCCAACGGCAACGTCCGGTGCGTCGAGGACGCCGACCGGCTGATGAAGTTCACGGGCGCGGACTCGTGCATGTCGGCCGAGAGCCTGCTGCGCAACCCGGCGATGTTTGGCCAGCGGCGGGAGGGGGGAGTCGTGGCAGCCGCCGGCGTCGGCGACGCCCGCCGCGAACTGCGCGGACCTGCTCCTCGAGTACCTCGACGAGGTCGAAAACCACCCGGTCCAAATGAGGTGCGCGCCAGCCAGGAATCTCTGTCTTTAATGTTGCAGCACAACTGTCTGGCTGGTTGTGTAGCCCGGGTCGTTCTTGCCCTGCAGACCAGGCAAGAGGCGTCCGATCCGCTCCGTTCCCCGCGTTTGCCGCATGTGCAGGATGATCAAGGGTCACGTGCACCAGCTATTGGGAGATTGGCTTCAGGAGTTCACCGACCTGCGCGACGTGGTCAACGGCGCGAACGGCGCGGGCCCGCCGACGGTCGCGCGCCTGCGCGACATGGCCGTGGACATCCGGGAGCGCATCCGCGCCGCGGGGCGGCCGTATCCAGTCCCCAGATTGA